TATGGGGCGGGGCGGGGCGGGGCAGATGGAATACTCAGGGGATCTCGTAGCCGGTATGAATGAAACAGCACCCGTTCGCTTTATGTTGATGGTAATGCAAGGAATTTAGTTTCCTCGTTTTTCAGCGACTTCATCTCGATAAACTCAGATTAATTTGAATATTCGCTGAACTGTTTAGTTGAGTGAAATCTCGATCTCGCTATTGCAAATATTTGCCTGCCTTCATTATTGGTTATGAGTACTGGATGAGGTTATGAGTACTGGAGGAGTACTGCGGCAGGTACGGAAAAATTTTGGGCAAATCATGCTGTTGGCTTGCGAGCTGGCGGAACGCCGATGGTTCACTTTATTTTGCACCCAGATTCGCGATGCTAATTGGACAAAATTTGCAGTCCCCATTCGAAGTGAATGCTCGTTTTCGGAAGACTCGGTCTTTTGTCTCATCATTTTCTGCGTTTCGGAGGCTTCTTATGCTCGTCGTTCATCTTCGTTTCCCCGATATCGGTCGAAACAATGAGAAAGGAACCTTGAAGAAAAAGGGAGGTCATATGACGAGAAAGAGAAGTATGACCACTAAGGGATGCCAGAACGAAAAATGCTAAAATCGGGAGCGAAATGCAGAAAAGAGTTCTAAACGAGCTTGGAACGAGGAAATGCAGGATGATGAATGTGGCTCATGACATCCAAACATTTTCATCCCGGATCTGCAGGACGTTCGCAGCTGCGTTCGCCAGCTCACCTGCGAACGTTCGCCTGCGTTCGCCGGTTTCGTATTTGCCCTCGATGCACTTGTGCAGGCGGAATCGGGGGATTTCCAGTCAGCTCTTCCAACGAAGAGTATCGAGTGGAACTTCGCTGGGAAGTTCTAACGCGCTTAACTCATGCAAGGGGAATTTTTCTCGGAATGAGACTTGAATGAATGTGATGGTTGACTCATTTTCAATGTTTCGCGAGGCAGTTGGCCTTCTCACACCGATCGAAGGGAATCGTAAGCGAAGTTGGGGATGTTCAACTCGGCCTCCGCTCTCGTCGCGTTTTCCGCGGCATCCAGAAATGAGAATAAAGAATAAAATTGACGAAATGTAGAATAAAGTTTTCAATCCCAACGCATCAACTTCATTCCATTCCTCACCGAGTCCCATGAGAGAAGCACGAAAAGGGACATCGATGACATCCCTTCGGCAGAAACTTCCAAATGATTCATGTCGATCAAGGTACGTGGAGTATATCAGACGCGAGGCGGAGAGAAGGTATAAGTGGCGACGAGGGAAGTCAGTTTTGGAGCTCGTTCGCGCAGCCGGATCTTCTCCCATTGCAAAACCCGACCCGTAACCACCGAAAACGATGACTGCGAGTGTCAGTACGAAGCGGTCTGCCCTGCTATTTCCACCTGTTTTGTCTGACTATCTAGTATCTACCAATACGTGACATTTTTGAGGTCGATTCTAAAACGAAGGGGAGAGGATGGCGTATGGTTCGGAGAGAGACAAATACTCCTTCCCTTCTCCCTTCTTCGCTCTTTTCTCGAAGACTTCATTTCAAGGCCTTCCTTCCCGCTTCTTAAGCCGGAACACTACGAGAGGGAGAAGTAACGATGTCCTGCACGTGTTGAACAAGCGATTGGCGAATTACTAACTACTGCAATACTCCGCAGAAACACCGGGGAGATCAGTTGAAACTCGAATTGGAACTTTCCCGATTCCGCCTCGACTTTAATTCATCTCGATGGACAGCTGGCGATCAGTTGGTGTCACTCCGGTCGTTTCCATGGAAATTGCGAACGAACTTATTCCTTAATGAATTTTTTCCTTAAATGAATTTTTAAANATCGAGATGAGTCCAAGACCATCAGAAAAGTTCAAATTCTTGTTTTCAATTTTGGGTTGACCAAAAAAGGGAGGAAGGGATGAGAAAGGATGTTCGAAGAAAGAAACAGCGAACTGGTTGCATGCCTGTAAAAGTATGGGGCGGGGCGGGCGGGGCGGGGCGGGGCAGATGGAATTCTCAGGGGATCTCGTAGCCGGTATGAATGAAACAGCACCCGTTCGCTTTATGTTGATGGTTATGGAAGGAATTTAGGTTCCTCGTTTATCAGCGACTTCATCTCCATAAACTCAGATTAATTTGAATATACGCTGAACTGATTAGTTGAGTGAAATCTCGATCTCGCTATTGCAAATATTTGTCTGCCTTCATTATTGGTTATGAGTACTGGATGAGGTTATGAGTACTGGAGGAGTACTGCGGCAGGTACGGAAAATTTTTGGGCAAATCATGCTGTTGGCTTGCGAGCTGGCGGAACGCCGATGGTTCACTTTATTTTGCACCCAGATTCGCGATGCTAATTGGACAAAATTTGCAGTCCGCATTCGAAGTGAATGCTCGTTTTCGGAAAACTCGGTCTTTTGTCTCATCATTTTTTGCGTTTCGGAGGCTTTTTATGCTCGTCGTCCATCTTCGTTTCCCCGATATCGGTCGAAACAATGAGAAAGGAACCTTGAAGAAAGAGGGAGGTCATATGACGAGAAAGGGAGGTCATGAAGCGAGAAAGGGAGGTCATGAAGCGAGAAAGGGAGGTCATGAAGCGAGAAAGGGAGGTCATGAAGCGAGAAAGGGAGGTCATGAAGCGAGAAAGGGAGGTCATATGACGAGAAAGAGAAGTATGGCCACTAAGGGATGCCAGAACGAAAAATGCTAAAATCGGGAGCGAAATGCAGAAAAGAGTTCTAAACGAGCTTGGAACGAGGCAATGCAGGATGATGAATGTGGCTCATGACATCCAAACATTTTCATCCCGGCTCTGCAGGACGTTCGCAGCTGCGTTCGCCAGCTCACCTGCGAACGTTCGCCTGCGTTCGCCGGTTTCGTATTTGCCCTCGGTGCACTTGTGCATGCGGAATCGGGGGATTTCCAGTCAGCTCTTCCAACGAAGAGTATCGAGTGGAACTTCGCTGGGAAGTTCTAACGCGCTTAACTCATGCAAGGGGAATTTTTCTCGGAATGAGACTTGAATGAATGTGATGGTTGACTCATTTTCAATGTTTCGCGAGGCAGTTGGCCTTCTCACACCGATCGAAGGGAATCGTAAGCGAAGTTGGGGATGTTCAACTCGGCCTCCGCTCTCGTCGCGTTTTCCGCGGCATCCAGAAATGAGAATAAAGAATAAAATTGACGAAATGTAGAATAAAGTTTTCAATCCCAACGCATCAACTTCATTCCATTCCTCACCGAGTCCCATGAGAGAAGCACGAAAAGGGACATCGATGACATCCCTTCGGCAGAAACTTCCAAATGATTCATGTCGATCAAGGTACGTGGAGTATATCAGACGCGAGGCGGAGAGAAGGTATAAGTGGCGACGAGGGAAGTCAGTTTTGGAGCTCGTTCGCGCAGCCGGATCTTCTCCCATTGCAAAACCCGACCCGTAACCACCGAAAACGATGACTGCGAGTGTCAGTACGAAGCGGTCTGCCCTGCTATTTCCACCTGTTTTGTCTGACTATCTAGTATCTACCAATACGTGACATTTTTGAGGTCGATTCTAAAACGAAGGGGAGAGGATGGCGTATGGTTCGGAGAGAGACAAATACTCCTTCCCTTCTCCCTTCTTCGCTCTTTTCTCGAAGACTTCATTTCAAGGCCTTCCTTCCCGCTTCTTAAGCCGGAACACTACGAGAGGGAGAAGTAACGATGTCCTGCACGTGTTGAACAAGCGATTGGCGAATTACTAACTACTGCAATACTCCGCAGAAACAACGGGGAGATCAGTTGAAACTCGAATTGGAACTTTCCCGATTCCGCCTCGACTTTAATTCATCTCGATGGACAGCTGGCGATCAGTTGGTGTCACTCCGGTCGTTTCCATGGAAATTGCGAACGAACTTATTCCTTAATGAATTTTTTCCTTAAATGAATTTTTAAAAATTAGATTCTTCCCCGATCCAAAATTTCTCATATACTGTAAGTAATTTCCCCGAAGAAATTACCCCCGCCGGACACTTCTCGCCGGAGATTCACCCGAAAAGTAAGGAACCAATGTCATGAAACCTCTTCGCTCTTCAGAATCAGTACCCAACAAGGACTGTAGATGTCATCAGTCCTGCAGATGTTTGGAACACCTGCTCCTTCGATCCTATCCATCCGACCACAGTAACACACGTTCTGGCGACACGCCTTGAATGACGCTATGATCTCTCTGCCCTCATTATTCTGGCTTCGGGTAGTTGGCTCACAGAGAAAGCCGCCAAGTTACAGGGAGCTATGCAAAAAGAGTACTTGTGACCGAGGCATGAAATCCTCAGCAGAGCGCACCTATGCGCGCGCATGCGTCATCAAAACATCCACCTCTTAAAAGCGGACAAACCGCGCAGGTCTGCTCACTATCTTTCCAGCTCTCGCGGCGGTCGGTTACTCTTTCGCTCCTCTTTAGCATTCATACCGGTTCATCGGTTTCCTATTGAGGAAGCAGATGGGCACTGACTCCGTGTAGTTGCTTTCTACCGTGTTTCTTTCGCTTTTCTAAATGTCAACAAGAAGCAGTGGTCGTGCATGTCTTGCGTGTCACAATACATGGCGGAACTCCCGCGAGAAGGGAATTTATTTTCATGAAATTTGTGCTGTAGGACTTTTTTTCCGCATCAGAGGAGATGCTCGGAGGAAAAAAAAAAAGAACCAAGAATATGAAGAAGTTTCAGTCTCAGGAAGGTATCTGTGAAGGAAAATCCGCAGAATTGCAGATAGCTGCAAGTTGCGCAACTTGAAGGATGAAATGCTCTTCATCATCTGTCTCCGAGAAAATATGAAATCAAGGATTTTCTGAGGGATTCCTGTTGTCCCAATATTTGTCTCTCTCCGAACCATACGCCATCCTCACCCCTTCGTTTTACAATCGACCTCAAAGATGTCACATATTGGTAGATACTAGATAGTCAGACAAAACAGGTGGAAATAGCAGGGCAGACCGCTTCGTACTGACACTCGCAGTCATCGTTTTTCGGTGGTTACGGGTCGGCTTTTGCAATGGGAGAAGATCCGGCTGAGCGAACGAGCTCCAAGACTGACTTCCCTCGTCCCCACTTATACCTTCTCTCCGCCTCGCGTCCTTTATACTCCACGTACCTTGATCGACACGAATCATTTGGAAGTTTCTGCCGAAGGGATGTCATGGATGTCCCTTTTCGTGCTTCTCTTATGGGACTCGGTGAGGAATGGAATGAAGTTGATGCGTTGTCATAGAAAACTTTATTCTACATTTCGTCCAATGTTATTCTTTATTCTCATTTCTGGATGCAAAAGGAGTAGTAGAAGGAAGAAAGAGCTACGACGACAAGAATCAAGGCATCGAACACCATCGGGCATCCTGCGTGTTATCGCGGATGAAATTGTCAGCGTAATCTGCAATGAAGGATATATTTTGAGATGAACATGAAAGTAAGCGTTCCTTCAAAAAAAACTTCAAAACACCTACTTGCTGTTTTTGTGAAGGCCCCGCCGAATTCGGTATAGCATCCTTTGCTCAAAAATGAATTGACACCTACGTTATAAAAATACCCATTCGTAGTTTTGTACATCAACGGTCCTCCAGAATCACCCTATAAGCAAATTCTTTTTAAATACTGCAGGTCACTGAGAAATCCACAATCAATCATGTGTGTTTTTATTCTTCGTAACTTACGTTGCAAATATTTTTTCCCGTTTCCTGAGCACAAAGGAAGTTGTTGTTGACAGCGGAACCGAACCAATTCCGGCAAGTTGTTGCACTGATCACTTTCACAGTCGTTTCCAGCATCGTCATCGAGTGAGGACCACCTTTGAATACGATTTCACGTCTGAAATTTTGGAGGATCCATCGAGGTGATATTTCCATCCCCCAAATGACTCACCATTCTCTTCCGTGCGACCCCATCCGGCTATTGTGACCGCATCCCCCACATTTGGGATGACCGAGGAGGAGAGACATATGGGTCGAATGTGGGGGTAAGCTTGGAAGTCAACCGGAGTCTCGAGTCTCAAGATAGCGACGTCATTGTTCACCCAAGTCGGGGTATCGTACTCAGGATGCATTATGGCGGTGGCTTCAATCTGAATAGATTGACTTTCAGAGGAAGTCGACTTGTCCAGGTCTCCCAAGGTCACGTAAAAGGTTCGTGTCGTGCTGGAGTGATGAGGACAGATATCCTATATAAAGATGTCCTTTGCCCGAACTGAGGTATGCATGTGGAAACTCGGAATACTCACTTGGATTCAACACAATGAGAAGCAGTGAGGACATATCGATCGTTGATGAGGGATCCTCCGCAGTTAAAAGTCCGTGGAGCTGACCCCATCCACGCCATCCAGGGATACTTCTTCTGACTTGGAACTGGGGTTCCTCCGATGATTCGGTTTAAGTTGGGCGCCGTCGAGTTCTCTTCGAGGGTTCCGGATCTGGAGTCCGCTTGGGAGACGCCGCACACTAACGGTGTCGTTGAATTTGGGAATTGCAAAAGGTGATAGCTGAAGATTTAATGTAACGTGATATCAAAATATACTGTGTTTTCTGGACTTACTGCAGGAACCACCTGGAAAATGAAAATACGGAAATGATCCAATTCATTCTGTACAAGCCAAATTGGATGATCAGCTCCACCGGATAAAAAATTCAGGAGAAACAACAGCTGAATTACTCACAAAAGCTCACTCGAACTAAAAAGCTAACTGAAAGCCATCCCACGTCAAATAAATGCGCAACGAAACATGAATTTAATCGATTTTTATGATATTTGACTAATACTATTAAGAAAAGACTCAAATATTTTCGCGCTCAGCAAATTAGATTTTAGATATGGGGGTTTGAAAGCGATATATGTTTTATGGCCTTTGTGCCCGAGTATATTGGAGCCTTCTTTTGGCAAATATGGTATATAATTGGTAAAAGTAAGAAGAATTCAGATGAATGTTATAGGTTATTTCTACTCAGCAAGTGCAGTTATTGCAATCTACTGGTCTCAAGTTTCTATTATTTTCATTAAATATTCCTCTCAATTTGTTATTGATAGTTTGCACTTAAAGAAAATGTATAAAAGAAATGTATGGTACCTTGTCGCCTTCTAAGGAAGCCCAAAAACGATTTTAGCATCTTGAATGGATGCTCCTCCTCGCCATATGGAACATCGGGTACACCTTATGAAATTCTTGAAGTGGGAATTTTTGAAGGAGTGAAGACCGTGAACCGACCTGGGCAGGGACGGAGAGCACGACGCAGAGGAAGACGGCGATAGCGGATGCGCGCATGTCTGGAGCGCCTGGGATGCCGAACTGCGGATGTTCCCCCCGGCAGCACCTTTTTTAATCCTAGGTTCTGGCGGCTGGCAAATGATGCCACAAAGAATTGCCTCGGACTTATCGAACTGGAGCTTCCAGGAACAACTAATGAACCTTGGGAATTCGTATGGAGAAAATGAAACCTTCAGCACATCACCCTTGCCTTTATACGCTTTACCTACTCAGGCGAATGTGGTGTCGGTGGAGCTAAATTTGACAGGAGATCTAGCGATCGCGTCTCAAGTCCGCATTTGTTATGCTGGTTCATGAAATATGCATTTGTTTTTCAACTCGTAGCAAATACAGCCAACACAGACGACAGTCCAAATACTTATTCCAGATGCGAATGCGACATTCCTCGTGGAATCTTGCGCCTGTGATGACGCAGTCGCCCGCTGAAGATCACCAAGGACAACATAAGAACTCGCCCTTTGGCTAAGGTCAATTTGATCTGCAAAAAAAATTGAGAACGTACCCATCCCCATCTCGTGGCCAGTGCTTGGGAAATTTGGTATAAATATGACATATTCTAAATTCGAAAAAATATATCAATTCTAAAAATTAGTAAATTCCTTTCGTTGCTCTAAACTAAACTCAAGTTTTCATATTTTAGTGATACAGCCGCTTAATAACCAATAGTAAGCATGGAAATTTGCTTCTTCGTTTGTCACCACCTCATCTCCGATACAGGCTCCGGACGTGATTTAACGTTAACGATTCTCACGAGCAGAAAACGGACCCCTCGTTATGAATACGAGGAATTTATCGCGACAATTCCTGACAGTTATCGAACGGCCGGTATCGGGAGAGATCGACGATGAGGATCAGAATAGGGACATCGAAGCCCTATTTCAATTCTATTGCGTCCGAATAAGGAATTGAAGAATACCTGAATCGTGGGGTGGGACGACGGCCGGCACTCACTCCCGACCCGCTGGAGGGTTCCATGAAGTTCTCGATTCGACTCCCGATTCGACTCGCTCGATGCGCGCCGCCTTTTAGTAGGACAGAGAGTCGCTTCCCCGGATTCTTCGAAAACGAGTCCCCTGTCCCTTAGCGACAGTTCACTATTGTTCCTCGCGTGAGTCGCAGAGGAAGAGAATTGAATTCCTCGAGGCGTTTCTCCGAAGACGCAACCCAGCCCTGGAACATACCAGGAAATTCCGGGCCCAGAGGATCCTTCCACTTTTCACGCGACGACCGTTTTTCCCCGCCGAGAGACGTTGAAAAAGTTTCGTCGCATTTACTCGGGACATTCTCGGCTCTTGGCGATCGGAGCGCACCTGTGCCGGGTGCTCTGGTACCGTCCCGTCGTCCATCGCAGGTGAAGAAAAGGCCGACCGATGCATTCTCGGCCGACGGGACTCACCCGACCGTAAGCCGGCTTCGACCTCCCTCTTTCGATTCGATGCGTCCCCGTAGAACTCCGAGGAGATGACGTCGGGATCCCCCCGAGAGGGTCGCCCGGCCCTGGAGGTCCGTGGGAGGCATCCCTCTCTCGATGAAACGGATTGGAAATCGGGCGAGGCGAGTCTCACTTCCTGCGAGGAGAAAGGTGCTCCTGCGTCTCGAAGATCGACGTCACGTGCAATGAAGGAGGCCATGCCGACTTTAATTTATTTCTCTTTTTTTTTTTGTCGTCAAGACACGCAGTCACCTCTCCGCCACGCGTGATAGCTGCAGATTCTTTTCTTTGCGGGAAGTCGGTCCATCCCTGGCGCATATGTAGGGCACGTGCGGATTTCCGACGGCGAGCAGCAGTCGGCCCCTACGAAGGACCGACACTACGGGGGTACGAGCCGGCTTCGCCCGACCATGAGCCGGCTTCGCCCGACCATGAGCCAACCATCTGCCAGTGACGGCCCGGCTGCGACTCGATTACGCGCCCACGAAACGCCGACGACGGCCCGCCGAAAACTCTTCGACCGGATTGGAACGCCACGAATCCCGCTAATCTCCCCCAAAAGACCCCGTTCCCCCGACCCCGAAAGGCGAAAAAATTCTCCCACGCCGGCCGGCATGCACGCGAACTCACCGGACCGATTCGTCACGGAAGGACTCACCGGCCCTCGATCCGCGACGCGCATCGCCAGGGAGCCTCCACGCACAGGTGGGAGCGAGGGAGGACGGAGCGGAGGAGGAGGAAGCGAGGGAGGAGGAAGCGAGGGAGGGGGAAGCGAGGGAGGACGAAGACCGGTCAGTCGTTTCGGGTTCCGTCTCCATTCTTGTGATCTCCGGGTTGTGCCTCGCCTTCTTTTTATAATTTGTGGGATAGGAAAATACTTAAAATAAATTCAAAGCTGGCCTTTTTTTTTGTTGCAAATTTCTTATATTATCTACTTAGACGCTAAAATAGGATAGAACATCTCGGCTAAATTATGGTGTCGACGATCCAAAGCCGGCAGTCTGTCAAAGCCGACAGTCTGTCAAAGCCGACAGTCTGCCTTGGACATCCCTCCATCCCTCCACGCTTCACCGCCCTCCTTCGGTTTATCTCTCCGTGGCATAAATATTTATCCGTTTGGGTGTTCGAGATCGTCCTCGGCCTTTTTTTTTTTTTCTCTGAGCTCATTATCGACTTCCCGTCCCCGAGAGCCTCAAATTCCCTTTCGCATCAGACCGACTCGATCTAAAATGAAAAGGAATTTGAAATTCAGGAATCCGTCCCGCTCCGAGGAAAAAAAAAAAACAAATTTTGGAGTCCCGGAAATCGGATGAAGCCATTTTCCGTTTCGTTCCCAGTCGGAATCGAAATCGATCGCTGAGCTCCGTCGGCTGACGCTGAAAACACCAGATCACCCGCCCTCCCGTCTACGCCCTCCCGTCTATGCCCTCCCCTCTACGCCCTCCCGTCGACGCCCTCTCATCGACACCCTTACACCCTCCCCCGTCACTGGAGGAAAGGGCGAGAGCCGGGCTTTACGACTTTCGAATGGGTGGAGTAGAAGGCGGTTCGTGCCCAACGAGCGTAAGAGCGAGGTCCTCTAAAGCGAGGTCCTCTAAAGCGAGGTCCTCTAAAGCGAGGTCCTCCACATCGGTCGTAAATAACGACAGGGCTTCATTGCGATTCACGATTCAACTCGAGTTCTCGCGCGCGCAAGGGACGGAAGCGGAATGCGATAGGACCTTGGGGCTTCGTGCGGCGTTTCCTTCTCCCATTGCAGCTCTGGTCTGGCCCAAAAAGTGGGATCGGTCGATCGGAGAACTCGGAGGCGAGCCGCGAGAACAACGAAGCGAGGTACGAGGACTTTCCATCGAGAAGCGATTAGGAAACGCCGGGACTCGAGGCAGGCTAACGAGGGGGGAACGAGAGGGAACCAGTTGAAGTCGGGCGAACTCCAAGCGAGACTCGAGTCGCGGAATCACTCGATTGCTCGTAGCAATTTCTAGGAATGCGTGACGATGCAGCGGCTGCCCCTTTCGCGACTCGAGAAGAGGCTTCACGCCTTCGAGGAAGAAACAAAGAAGGGAGGAGCTGCAGGCGACTAAGCAATAGGTGGTTACGCTCCCACATGAACATCTATAATTAAGAGGGGCCCATCCCATGATGCACGAAGGCTTCACCTTGACGCGGGACGTCAGAGCGGGCAAGAATGCCCGTTCACGCCCCTAACCGAACCTTCCACTGTGCTTATGCGCGATTTCGCGCTAAAAATTCTGATTTTCTGAAGATCGTCACATCCTGTTCTACTTGCGGCCTTTGCTCGAAACGTCCCTTTTTTAACTCGAGGAGAATCGAGCGAATTGGTACTGTTCCTGCAAATTGAGGTCTCCTAGTTCCGGCGGGTGCACTGATTCTCACGGCATCGCTGTTCGCACAACATCACTGTTTGGCATGGCATCACTGTCGGCTTAAACGGATAAGGATGGCGGCCAACATGTGGCTCGTGGGAAACTGAATGTGATCCGGGATCTCGTTCCGAAGGTGAAAGTGCCGAATGCTGAACTTGGATAAGCAAAAGGCATTCCTTTCCCCGGATGCAAAGCGCTTTCTAGTCAATCGCTGTGAGAGTCGGTGAGCGCAGGATTTGTGACGTTGTCGAGGCCTTTCATTCCCGTGCACTCAGGTCCCACACAAGTTTAATTTGAAACCTAACGTTGGAATTTGAATCTGTCCAGCACCATGGGCGACCTTCAGCTTCCCCCGAGACCTGCCGGTGAGGACATTTCCTTCTATTTATCACAGCTGTGAAATAATCTGAAATGGATTCAAAGGCGCTCAGGGTATGAGTAGGACTAATGTGAGGATTTTGGGGGATTACAGAGAAGATCGTGATGACTCCCAGAAAGAAAACAGAGAACACTACTATCATCATGATGGAGAGACAAAAAGTGGAGGAGGAGGAGAAACAGGAATCCACTACTAGATATGTTGCTGGTGGAGACCATTCTGGCCTGGTCATCAATAAGCAGGCCATTCAAGGTATGTCGAGGTGCATGTTGTAATCCTAGGCCTAATTTTTTGCTTCTTGAGTATCTGAATTGGTCAAGAAGTTTTAAGAATGTACAAGCTAGGGTGCTAGCATTCAGCAGGGTACTTTGGTGCATCACCGGTAATAAGGGATAGGAAATAGATTATTCATTGCCCTGGAGTCATTGTGATCCAGTTCTAATATTCTCTTGTATGGTGTTGGAGAGTATTAATTTTTGTTCATGTGTTCTTTTTCAGTGGAGATCCCTCCTGTGCATCTTTCCTTGGAATTCCATGTCTTCCTAGTCAATGCTCAGACGGGCAAGCATTCCCAGGAAAGTCGAACCTTGAGATTCTGGTTCAGGGATGGAGAATCGGAGCCCGAAACAGCGCAGGCTTTCTTCACGGAGCTAGTCAGTCCACAAGACTTCCCAAGAGGTAAGTTACAAAATGTATTAGCCCTCCCACCCCCTCCCTTGTTGACCAGTGTTTCCCAATGTCAGCTGTTTTTCTCGTCATTCCAGATTATGTGGGGTTCATCAAGAAGATCATGAAGATGATGCAACGGAAGTTCGAAACGATCATGAGAGTTGAGGTGGAACTAAGGACAATAGCAACCAGTGATGAACCTCTGCATCAGAATGGTCAGTTTTAAGAGTCTTTTGCTTTTACTCCTCTGCCGAGCATGGTCTCTATGGCATAAAGTTGGTGCTATCTCTCACTAGGAAATATTTCATGGACAATTTTATGTTTTCAGTGAGGCCAGGACACCTGATTATTTCCTTACATGACATATCAGCAGCTCGTGAAGGTCTGATCCCAGTCAGCTGGTGTCCTTGAACCTGCTTGAATGTAGCCCTTTTTATGGCAAAAAAATCTTATCATAGTTCATAGTTCCCATGTGATGTAATTGCAGATCAGTTTGATATCCCAAAATCTGTAACACACTGACCTAGTTGTGTGGTTTTCCAGTCGGCTAACCATTCTCATGCTAGATGCAGGGGGATACGTAACTATAGTTCTCGTGTTTGTCTTCATCGAGATGGACGGCTTAGATTTGCTATTCCCAAAAGCATATGCCAATGTTTTTGCATTCAGAAATGATATCGTGGGTGCTCTGAGAATTTGGACTTATGCTTAACTAAATGCTTGCATAATTTTGAATTATCTCTGATTTTGGGCTGGATTTAAGAGAGTGGTGGTAAGTACTTCAATCTGTTTGTCTCAGAGGCAACTGCTATGACAATTTGCATTCTAAATTTATCTTCTTGAAGATAATATAGAACAAAGGTACTGTCACAGCACCAAACTCTTGGCATCTATGCATCCTGCAAGTGACCAGGAAATTACTCGAGTGAAATGTAACAGTCTCCAGTTCAAGCATGGAATTATAGGTATAATTGCAAGGCTGAGGCTTTTAAAGTCAAACTCTTTGAAGCATCATCGTGAAAAGTGAAGTCTTGCTAAGAAATACTCATCTTGTCTGATGTTTTGTATTCAAACTAATTTGTTCATGCCAGTGTTTGATGTAGAGACTTACTCACCTGAGCATGTTAATAGTTTCAGGTAATTTTGAGGAAATTTCATGTAATAATTTTGTCTTCTTCCTTTAGATGTATCATTTGAGGATGGAATTGGTGCCCCAGTGGAATTGAGTGAGGCTAAAGTCTTGGAGATCATCGAGTCTTCCTACCCTAACATTATCACAAGGGATGAGATTGCTGAGTGAGTTTTGAGCCACATATTTACACTGATAGTGCAGTCTTATCTCCCAGTACCTCTAGTGCAATCTTATCTCCCAGTACCTCTAGTGCAGTCTTATCTCCCAGTACCTCAGTCAATCCAGCTTCATTGCCCCACCCTTTATTGCTCATAGCTCCATGTCCCAGATCTGCTTATCTTCAGCCTTTCTTTTATGCACCAAGAATAACTCATAGCAGTTTCCTGACCTCATTAAATGGCTATGAAAAATGATGGAGCCACATTCTTTTTATGTAGCTTATAAGGAAGTATTCCAATATGTGTGATAAAATATTCCAGACAAACAAAGCACTCAGCAGAAGATGTGAAGCCCTGGCTGGAGCAACTGAAGGAGAAGGGTGTGATAAGAGAGACAACGGAGGGGGAGGGGAAGGTGGGATACACGAGAGTGACACAAGATGACACTGCACTCCATGTGGTCAAGCAGATGCCCACCATACACTCCAATGCTCAACCCACCATTGCCATCATCACTGCTAACTACTGCGAGAAACTTGCCATGGATTCCATGATCCTCAACAAGACCACCTATGTCCGCTACACCACCATTGGTATGAAATTTTTACTTCTTTTCATGTTTCTTATTTCATATTCCTTTTTTATTTCAATATTTGTCAGGAATTTGTAAGGAAATATGAGTTCCTGATATTCATCATATGTTACTATTAACCATGTTTTCCTTTCATATATTTTGTACTTCAGGTGAGAGCAACGTATATACATTGGGGAATGTTGGAGCTCATCGAGTTGTATGCACCAAGCTTCCTTCTGTCGGGTTCACCCGTGGAGCCACCATTGCAGCTGGAAGCTCGACTACCCGACTTCTTGGTGTGTTTTCGTGTCGCTGTCATTTTTGTGGATCCATGTTCATGATCTCCTGTGTGTATTGATTACATTTGTTTATTTCTTCAGGAACATTTCAACAAGTGGAATATGTGATCCTATGTGGAGTGGGAGGAGGAGTCCCACATTACACTGATGGACTTCTTCATGTTCGTCTTGGGGATATTGTCTGCTCTGCTAGTGCTGCAGAAGGTTCTCCTGTCTATTGGTACTGTGAACCAGTGCTGGAACGAAGAAATTCCGAAGAAGCCGAGAAGGAGATTTCATTCCAGAGCCGAGGCTGGAAACCTGTGTCCTTCATTCTTCAGGACATGGCTGCACAATTCAAAGAACAAGTATGTTTTCTCTTGTAAAATTCTGTCAATGAAATATAAGGAAGCTATGGAAGTTATATTGCTGTAATGAGAGTTCCTGCTTACTTGGAATTTGTAAAATTCTTTCTGTGGGCCTGTATATTAAATTCAGGAATTTAATATACAGGGTGCCCATGAAGTCTGAAAACATAGGATCATGTTAATGATATATTAAGGTAAAGTACAAATAACCTGAAATAAATTTTCAAAATGTTCTCACATTGAATCAATACAGATTTGAAGGTGATGTTTGAAGTGCTGATGAACCTAATTAAGTACGTTGGCATTTCTATTTATAGCAGCACACTTTTCAGATTCATATCCTGTGTTTCCAGACTTTCTAGCCAGCATTTACTTTAAATATTTAAATATACTTCCACTGTAATATATTTGCTGAGCCTGGTTTTTCTGTGGCAAAGAATATTTTCCACTCTATCCTTTTTCAATTGAACAATTAAACAGAATATTATTGAAAGTTGATTTGATGCTGTGTTGTAGTTTGAGTCGACTGGAGAGGCACCATGGTTGACATACATGGAAGAAGGAGGGAGAGAGTTAGAAGATGCAGAAGGAAGTAAGTTTGAACGTCCTCCATTCGAGACAGATCGCCTGTTCATGCCAATTGGAAGAGGAGATCTGATCCAAGTTCAACATCCTGCTCTTCCTGATGCCAAGTAAGATCTTTTCCTGCCTAACATGGAGATATTATGGTATGCATATTGACTAAGGTATTCTTTTGCCACGGCGTATCGTCGATCAGGTACGAGGAGCAGCCCCGCATCCACTTGGGCCCCGTGGGATCGGGTCGAGAGGTGAGCCTGAAACGAGGCGACCTGGCTGCATCTCTTAACCTAAGGGCATGGGACTCTCCTTTTGATTCCGTGATCGAGAGCATCCTGGGGAATCGGAAGGATGCATTCATAGCCGTTCGAGGCATCGCTGACTATCGAGACGGATCTCGCGGGAAGGACTGGCAGCCGTATGCCGCTCTGGCAGCAGCTGCCTTTACCAAGGCCCTCATCTGCGCTCTTCCACCCATCACTCCAACTTAAGCTCTTTTGCTGTCTGGTATGGGTGGTGAATCTCTCTGCTTAGTCTCTCACTATAATTTTTTTTTTTTTTACCTTTTTCTATCTTCAATTCTATAGAATATTGCCAATGCAGGATAGTGCATTTTCATGGTCTTAGCTTGATCTTGGCAAAGATTGTTACCAGTTACGTTTTGATGCGTGGTTTGTCTTCGAGTCAGATTCTGCTTAAGAAATTAAACGGGCTCAGGAAAGAAGGTTACAGATGAAGATTGAGGATTGTGTATCTCTTTGGGTGTTGATGATGTTGATGGTTGGCATGTTTGATCCCCTACTAAAATGTCTTCTCAGGCGGAAAGAAGGTGCTGGATTCCCCGCAGGATTCGGTGCTCCCCGTAGATGTTGCATCTTTGTACCTAGATGTATCCAAGAAGCATGGTTTAGTCGTGAAAAGAAGTACAAAGTGGATTGTAACCCATGAACTATTCTAGTTTTTTTTCCTAATCAGTGGTTTCTACTGGTATTCCACAATTCAGAAGGGAATGCCATTTATTTCACTAATTGTGTAGTGGTTCCCCTACTGTAGTAATCAGTAATTGGCTGTTACCTAATGACAGTTTGGATACGTTTTTGCATTGTGTTGGATTGGAATTGGCACAAAGAGTTGGTCTTCTCGTTTGTTGTGATAATCCTGGATTTGTGATCGGTTGACTGCCACGTCGATCCGTCGACCCGAGGGCATTGCTTCGAGACGCCTTTTTCTTGCAGCTTTTCAGTTTATTTGCCAAATTTTGTTTGCTAGTAAGTTATTCCTAGTCAGGCATTTAATTTCACCATACCAGTGAGTGCTTCTTGTTTGGTGACTGTCTCCTGAATTTTTGTTTGTGGACCAATGAAGGGAACTTTCATTATTTCTTTGTACTTTTTCTTATTCAGGATCACCACAACACTTAAACTTTTTCACTATGATGGAAAAATTTCACAAGTATAAAATTAAGTGAGCTATGTACAGGTGTCCCATAAATCTGGAACCATTGCCACATGTTTACAAATGCATGTTTTATCCAAACGTTTGATTCATCAGGTATCACTAAGTGCTTATATCTCTGTACACTGACACGACCTATGGTTGAGTATAGGTCGTGTCATTTCTTCAAATTGGATCATTTGAAATACAGGGTGGCGCAAAAGTCGCACACCATAGGGTAAATTAGAGTAAAAAAAGGGTTTGAACATATGTTAACTCCACCTTCCTGTCTTTTGTTAATTTTCCTGCCATCAGTTACTTGCAAATGAAGAAGCAAAAATTAATTAGTGCAACAGTGAAATCCTCAGGTGCGCAACATTGCGCCACCCTGTATAATGAATATACACCGCCCATGGTTCCATACCTATGGGACGCTGGCATCCCGTTTGAACTAAACTCGTTGCGAAAGGGACAGCGACATTCCCCACGCAGGCACGCGGACGACCCACATCCCACTGCGGCTTGCACCATCGCCGTGCACGGGTTGGGTGCGAGGTTTTTCCGATGTGACAAGTTTCTCATGTTTTCGCGAAACCTATAGGGGAAAATTAGGGAATCCTTTTATAGTTTCCTCGCTAAATGTTGAGATTGAGCCCAGTTTTTTCTTTTCCAGCACACCGAGGAATCTTAGGCTTGCAGTGAAAATAATTTTTCTAAAATGATACTATAAAAGTTATATCTAGTAATAATACGAAAATAATTTCGTCCGTTGGGCCGGACTAGCAAAAACTTCAAAAGCGTGTGGGGACGCGAGTGACCGGTAGATGTCACTTGGATCGCGTTTTGCCTGCGACGAGGGATTTCTTCACCCACGTCCACAGATTTAAGAGAATTATGGGGATAGCGATGACAAGTCTTTCCATGTGGAATTTCAGGGTTGACATCTGCTCCTCCGCGCACTTTTCGCATCTCTGCACGCTTTTCCCCCCCAGTTTGACTCATTTATATCGCGTGGCTTGGAACGCTAATTGCACGCCGTGCAAAAATACTGCTCGAGCGTCATATTTTAATGGTGTGACAGATGGACAATGGGAAAACCATTGAATTAATTCATGTAATCAACAAAAAAAAAGGAAGCAAGGTACAAAAAAGCAACTCTGATTTAATCGATTTCTGCGCTCTCACAACTTTCGATCGAAAAATGAGTCCACTTTGCACATAACATCCAAGAAAGTGTCTGAAAATGCTCCAGGCGTTCCGATTGCTTCTCGTTCGCTGCGAGGAATTGAAGCACAGCGATTCGAATGGCATCCGGTGGGCGTCCACGGGTACTTTCTACCGTGAGAGCAAAGACGCTCGACTGCTTCGACGTCTCACTGTTCCAGTTCGCCGCTTCGGTTTTCTCGGCCGGGAGGCAGAGACATCTTTAGTGTCAGATTGGTACTTGCCGCGTTCGGACGGCTTTCAAAACTCTGCTGTCGTCACCGTGCAGTTTCATTTCAGCTGGAGAAAAGGTGGGACTTTAAGGCCAAATTTTGTGTTTCGACGTTCCCTCACGGAGACGGCGGAATTTGAGAGTAAAAGTTGGGGGAAAAACCGAAGCAAACAGACCCAGACTTCTGACATCCCTGTTTGCCGACATTTTTCTTACATGGCTGCGCGCTGTCCTCCGTTACAATTTGTTTGAATGTAGGACAATTTCCCTTCTCAGACTAGAGCAGTTATGATGACGCAGGCCTCGGCCGTTTGGTTCATTTTCCAGTGAAAATGCCGCGCCAGAGCTAGTTCTTCGAATCCAGCCGTTTCGCATGAGGTGTCGGCGATGGAACCCCTCGGCGTGGAGAAAGTCCCCATCGACGCCCACGTCGGCGTTAGGCCTCGGTCGCGACCCGACGTAGGACGTCGAATGGAAAGGAAAGTGGAAAAAGAGGCGATGAAGAGATCTGGGAGCTGTGATTGGAGCGAAAAGGCCGATGTGGACCACGAGAGCGATGCTGGATCTGTTGCGGATGAGGACAGGCTGAAGAGGCTCTTCGATACGTGTGACACTGATGGAGACGGATATATCACGTGGTAGGCTAATCATCGCTCTCATCTTAGATATCTATATAACTGTAGGCCCAACTATGCTACAGCTCATATGATAATATATGAGCATTCAAAAGCTATTGTATGTTTAAATTTGTTAATATTACAAAATTGGTGGATCCGGTTTGATTGCTTCTGGAGTTCCAATAAAGTATCTCCAAATTTAAATATTCTCTCCGGCTCTGGTGCAGTTGTCAAGTCATGGCACATGCCACACTGAGTCTTGTGGTCTTTGTTCATCCAGATTTGTCCCAGTTTCTCTCAACCTGTGACCAGAGGTCATGCAACTTGAAGAACTTACCTTGCCCAAAGTGTGGTTTTGGTAATCATAGCTGAATTCAAATATGCAGTTTTGGAAAATTATTTAATGCCATTTGTTGTATGCTCTTTACTGCTTGCTAATTCTAATCAGAATTTTTTTTACTCTACATTGTATTCAGAAGCATTGCTTTTATTAGATATTGTTTTTTTAGTATGCTATTGAACGAAGTTAACATTTATTCTTCATTATTATTAATCTTATTCATTTGAAATTTTCTTGAGCTATCTCATTTAATAATTTGAAGTCTAAATAGGATGTTTTTTTCTTTAGACACTATTGTTTCAAATTCCTTTCAATCCATCTTCATTATCTGCTGAAACTTTCTAATAACTGGTGCCTTGCATGGCTTGCTTTAGTCTAGTTTTTCCAATGTGAAAATTGAAATGTTTGGTGTGTAGAATATGCTTCATGGCTATTATCACTGTTGACAGTTTTTGCTAGTAACAACATTATATCCTTTTTGAATCGGAACAGTAACATAATAGTAACCATGTTCAATGGCATTGGGGCCACTGTGGCTATACCCAAGTATTATTAGTACTGTTTCTTAGTCCTGTTTACTACACATTTAAAAACCACTTTGAGGGCATGAGTAATTTTGAATCAAAGGGAACATACATATCATCTGTGGGTAGGCATGGAAGGTTGTGTAATCTCAAGAATGGTCCACAGTTGATTGCAGAGGTCTATCATCATTTTCTTAAGCAGGTCTAGATTGCCATACAAAGAGCATTGAGACTTAATTGAATGGACACTCACCATCTGTTTCAATGGGTTCTTTTTGATTTCAGTGAGGACTTATTGTACATCTGCCAAGAATTGAGCCTTGAGGACTGCTTCGATGACATAATCTCTCAGCTTGGCATGCAGATGAATGTGAGACAAGTTGCATTATCATCTCTGGAATACTTCACATCAACACAGTCCTAATTGTGTTTCTTCCGTGCAGAGTCGGATATCTTTCGAAGAGTTTGTCAAGTGCCGAATTGCCCTGAACAGCGAAATAGAGGCTCTCCGTCAAGAATCGTCTTCCGCTCCGTCGGCCACTGGAGATAGCAGTTCGGGGATCTATCCTCTGGCATTCCGTCACGGGGACGGGGCAAGTAATGCCAGCGGCACCAATACGAACGATTACATCCCGACCTCGAGCGAGAACAGCCTGGGTGAGTCTATCCTCTATTCGATGCCATTCGAGAAAGATTACTCGATTCTTTGGGCCAGGAAGAGATATTTCCTTCCGAAATTGGCACATAGAACGTGGAGGGTTGGGGCTCGTGAAGAAGCAGTTTGGTGATTCGTGGGAGTTTGACAGCGGGGCTCGGGACCTGAGTCCGGAGCCACGATCTCTGCAGAAGCTCCTTGAGAATGCAGGTGCAATCCTCCCTGGGAGCTCTTCTCATCTCCTGGATGTTGCCAACAAGGTGAGATGGTGATACACAATGCTTGGAATCTATTCCATAATGTATACATTGGTGAAACCCTTGTCTCATGTAACCACTCCTACTCTGGAGTCTCACTGAACAGGCCCCATATAGGGATATGCGACTGTTATGTTTCTTTTACGTTGAAAGGCTGAAGGATGACGAACCTCTCAAATTCTTGAGTTACAAGCTAAGTTACCATTTTGCAACCGTCCCATTGTGGACTTGGTGTTAAGGGGCTTCCTTTGTTCAGCTCCAATAGCTCTCAGTTTGCTATGTTAGCAATAGAGCAGCATTGTGCCATGGAATACAACAGGAGTAATCTGTAACTGGATGTGCTGAATGTTCACGTCTGAAGCACTTGACCGTTCTGTTACTCGGCTGGTTTTATCTTTCTCTTATTCCCAAAACTTTCTTGTGTACAAGTACACATAAGCTGTACTGCTGGCATGTGGAACTCAATTCTCACTACTGTTATATCATTACTTAAACACCTCAGATGTCAATTGGAGATTTCTCAGCCAGGCAGACTTGAATCTGCTCGGCCGAGATTGAATTTCCTAGCCCGACCGGTTTTAAATCTAACCATGGAGCACGTGGGAGTTACTTATTGGTGATGCCATGTAATGTGGTGTGGACTAAGAGTCTGTTTCTGGGTCCCTCACATGATCTTGCCCTAGGTTGCCATTGGGTTTAAACTTTAAACCCAATCATTGAGTGGAATATACATGAACGTAAAGTCCCGCATCGCTCTCTGATGCGATGCAAAGATTTCAAACGGAGCATTTGCCAATAAATATGACTGAATGTGAAGGAAGGCTGCTGAAGTGAACTGTATATTTTCTCATGGAGAACAGTGCAAATGTGACATATGCACTGGTTAGTATGGAGTTGAGATTTATTTATTGTTTTAGGTCTCACAGAACTTTTCTCTGCCCTACCTGTTCTCTTCTGGCTGCCCCAAAATGTTCAATTTAGGGATGTTCCAAGCCGGCACACCTTGCCATGAATTGAGAACGGAAGTGTGAAGGTTCCTGAAATTGCCATACTTTTTTGCACTCCTGACCCTCAGATGGGCAAAAATGATGCAGCTCCCATACAACTGGAAAAGTCAGGGGAACTGAAGTAGTAATTAATTTTTTTTTTTAAATAGAATCGTAAGATCGATTTCAATCGATCCAAGAACATTTGTGCGATGCGTTTGCCATTTTTTCTCAAAACCAAAAGCGAGAAATGTATGAAGATCGGGAGCAGAAATTTGGCATTTCGCAGCTTGCAATCGTTGCATTATATATTGTGCAGTTGGTTTACCTTGCGAGTGTGTTTTGCTATGAAGACTTCGAGGATGATTGGCAGAATTGCATCTGCTATCTGTCTCGGCGGAAATAGAGGAAGTTGCCAATTTTTTTTTCCTGGGCGGATGTATTTTGCGGACGGCCGTAAAAGAGCGTCGGAGTGAGCGGGAAATGTATGGGACGTTAGGCGTTACGATGTTGCACGCCTGGCCGACTCTCACGGGGCCGGATCGGCAAAAGGGGAAAAAAAAAAATTGTTATCGCCTCGTTAAAGCGAGTCTCGAGGGACCGCTTCGTCAGTTGGCGTCGGACCAGGGCCGACGTGGTGCACCGACGATCGGAAGCAAGAAAAATATTCCGTGTTTTCCTCCGGTAATTGTGACCGACGTGAGAAATGCGACGAGGAGCTGGCGACTGGAGAAGGAAATTTTGAGGGGGGGTGCGCCCGTTTGCCGGGGCTATTTTTGCAAAGGGTCAGAGGAGCGTGGAATGCGGGTCAGAGAATGGGATGAGGTGAGGAGTGAGATCGTCTCATCGGGAAGGAAGCGGGTCGGGTGTGACCGATGAGATGGTCTTGGGGGGGGAGGCACTTGCGAGGCGGGCGAGCATCCATGCCGTTCGGTCTCGCTGTTTCCTTTTTGTGTTGGTGTTGGAGGTTTTGAAGGGGGAACGCCTGTTTCGTCCCGCGGAATACCACGGTTAGGGTCGGCGTTGTGAATACGAAATGCCAAAAATAAAAAAAAAAACGGAGAGGCTTTGCCGATAGTTTTGGCCTAGTTAGTGAACCGACTCCGGTGCTAGACCACCAGATTTCATCGCTCAAATCTTCATAGTTTTCCGAGATGTTTTCCCATTAACTCGTGGCCATCCGTCCAAAATATCGCTACGAAACTCCCCATCGACGTGGTAAGGATGTCGGGGCACTGTAGGTGTGAAGGTGGATTTATACAGAGCAGACGACGTAAGACGAGAGCCAGCGGTTGCGACCAGCTGCCGGCCGGTGGCGAACCGGTCCGGTTGGATCGATGGACGGAAAAGAGAAACAGTGGATTCGTTAGGTCTGTCGTGGAAGTGCGGGGGCATCTGCGAGACGTAGAGTTGAGGGATGGGGTAATGAGGGAGAATCCGTCAGGAAATATCGGGGAAGTTTGGATGGCCTGGTGGGTCCAGACGGCACTTCGCGGAATGCGATTCCGGTCCTCGCCTGTTATGGGAATGCTAATCTTTGAGAGAATTGGCGCACGATTTTTCAATAACCTCGCCGTCTGTCGGAAGCGACGGCGGAAAGCGGAAATTTCCCTCCTCGCGTACGGCGAACTTCCGCCGTTCGCGTTCCGCGCGATTTTCCCCTCCGAACGAGTCGCGAGTCGCCCCTGACGGGCGTCTCTCTGTTGCCGAGGCCGAAGACACGAGCGAGGATCGGGGGGATTCCAGGAAATCGGAAACGATGTCGTTCCGACGGGCCGAAAGCCGAGCGAGGTAATGGGGGGAAAAGAGAAAGACGGAAAGAGAAAAAAGAGACGGGTTGTTGTCTTTGGCGGCCCCTTGTTTCTCGGCCTCGTCTCATCCTCCTGGGAGACGGAGCAAGTGGAGATGGGATGGCAACGCGTGTGTGGGAGGGAGCCAAGAGGCGATAAAAAAGAAGGGGTCGCCCTCCCTCCCCAGCATTTGGAAGGGGGCCAGAGCAGGCCGTACAGGCCCATAGATCGTCATGCACAACACATTTCGGTCGGGGAACGCGGGTCCGTGCTCGGAGGAGCCTTCCTCGGTCCTCGTTCGCGCTGTGAGTGGGTTCGGGGTCGGGGAAGGTCGTTTTGCTTTCAGAGGCACGGTCGGGGAATGCACCGGGGTGGCGGCGCTCGTGCGTGGACGGCGAATGGAGGGAAATGAGGTCGTTGTTGTGAGGCGAGGGCGGATCTCGTGGTGTTTCTCTGCAGGGATTGAACCTGAAAGCTGCGGTGTCGTCCGGGTTTCAGAATCTCGCAGTGAGAAGTGAAATGAGCTTAGTCGAGAGGCGTTTTCAGGAGAAACGAACGTTTTATTGGGCAGTGACGGGAAATTATGTGGTACAAAGTATATGTACAAATTAAGAGAAGCAACTAACTGCTGGTTGGAATTGCAAAAGATTGAAATTACCATCTATTATAGATTTTTATCAAAGCATCGTGTTGCATTATGCTGGGATTGATTAGTCATGCATTGCATTCCCAATACTGATGAGTTCAGACTTAATATTCAGGATTCAGACCCTGCAGTCAAACACATTTTTGCTCTGGATTCCAGACAACACAATATTATGCTTTTGGGAAATGAATTAGAAATTTTCCATCCTTGCCTCAAGGGAAGTGTCTTGCTTGTAGTTGCATCTGGCCGCAGTGACGGGACAGCGAGCGGAGCTCCTGGAGCTGTCGTCTCGTCTCCAGGTCCTCTCGAGGGACAAGGAGAACCTGACCAAGGCATTGGCCAAGGCCCAGGTGAGTCTCGTCAAAGTTTTAGCACGCGACGAGGATCGTCTTGCTCTTTACGGTGCTGACACGTTCCTCATCCAGAACGAGAAGGTGGAGATGGCCCACCGTTACGAAGCACGCCTGACGGAGCTTCACAGCGTGATCGCCGAACTCGGTCGGAAGCAGGAAGCCCATCAGGCGTCCATGATCCAGGAGGAAGAATTGGAGGAAGTGGAAGAAGTGGAGGAAGTTGAGGAGTTGGAAGATCAACTGGAGGATCATTTGGAGAATCGGCTGGAAGAACAGTTGGAAGAGCAAGAGGCAGAAGAGGAGGAACCCAACTGCAAAGAGTCGGAGGATTGTGCCGAGAAGGACGAATTTAGGATCCCTCAGCCTCTGGAAGCTGCTGCAGCTTCATCTCCTGCTGCACATCTCAATGAAGGTGAACTTGAAGAGCGACTAAGATTCTGTTAAATCTTGCATCGAGGTGAACCCTCCTTTTTCTTCCTAGGGACGCTGGGAAGCTCAGAGAGAGAAGAAGGCGAAGCAGAACGCTTGCGATCCTCCCTGGACATTCTGAGAAGGGAGAATGCATTCCTCAGAAAAAAGGTGAGGGACATCTTATCCCCACATGTAAGAGTTAGCATCATTGTGATCCTGAGGACATTTCTCCTGCTCTGTGGGAAGTTGTTCGAGTTGGAGCCAGCAGGGGAGGAGGAACGGACGGGTGGGGTCGAGCTCGTGACCCGGGTGGCGGAACGCATCCGTCTCAGACGGGTCGAACAGGGGGACAAGCACCTTTCTGGCTCTGACATATCTGCTTTTGGGGTCAGTGGAGTTTATCTATTTTTCATTTGTCACATTCACTTGCAAGATCTCCATTGATTTGTTGAAATTCAGATTCATGCATGTCTTCCTTGCCCTCTTGCCCCTGAGTTTCGACTGATGCCTGCATTCATGTGCCTGTAAAGGACCAGTTACAATGTACCATTGGTGGAGTAATGGAGCTTTAGGGTTAAGTGTATACTCTTGAAACTAAGGATTTCTTAAATTAAAGGGAAATTTCAGCTGATGAGAACTGATTTGTCACAGCTTCTGAGCTTCCTTCCCACAACATATGGTTGAAGGGAGGCTAAAATGCATTTGAAAAAGGAAGGTAGGGCTCAATATTATCTCCCTGCTTCCCAAAATAATTTGGTTCTGGAAAAAAATGTTTTTGCAGAAAAAACTCAAGAAGCAAAGTGACACCTCAAAGCCTTATTTTAAACATTTTAAATTCTTGCAGTTTTTAAAAAGCAGTTGTTTCCTTTTTTATTTCAATGGGCCAAAAACATTTCAAGATTACTGGGGCAAAATTTGCAGATAGTCATATAATGAGCAAGTATGCAGAAATATATGAGAATTGGGGGTATGGGAATAAAAGGAACAGAAAGAAATCATAGTATATTGCATATGTGGATTGTGACTTGAAGGTTGCTGTGGATGACATTGGCATGGCAGTAGATCTCCCTGTAATAAGATATGACTTAACCACTGTTCCTCTGAAGTTTCATCAGGCAATAGAGGGTTACAAATAAAATCTTCTAGGGAGGAAAAAGAAAAGACTTTCTTTCTCTAAACACTTTTGATGCACTTATGATGTCCTCAGAGACATCGGAGAGAAAATATGCTTTCATCTGCAAGAAAGAACTGAGCAGAATGGAATGTGACCACGTACCATCCTGACTATCCAATCCAGGAACAGGGAAAAGGAGTGCTGTTAACATTCACCAATGTTTACATTGGAGTGTATACAGAAGTAGATAGGGTGCTTCATCATACTGCTGAGGCAGTAATTACTTTTAGCCATTCTCTCTTTCTCTCTGAGCAGCTTCATAGTCACTGCTCTTTGGATAGTGATATATATACTTTTTCCACAAAAGTGGAACATATGTGAGGTAAAGGACTACAGAGTGTCCCATATGTCTAGAACCATAGGTAGTGTATTTTCTTCCTATTTCAGATGTTTTAAGACAAAGATATGGCACTATCTAAGGATGAGCAAGTTGAGGTTGGGTCACAGTAAATCTGGGGAACCAATAGCCACTGCCAAGTACCCAACAAATTTAACATTTTTATAATATACAGATTTGTAAATGTTTGCCTATTATTCCAGGTTTATGGGACACCCTGTAGAATGTCTCAGTTAGATGCTCTCATCAGACAATATCAGTGATTATGCAGCTTTTCAAGCTGCTGTGACTTGCAGATGACTGGAAAGTTTTAGGTTTGAAGTTACCACATTCATTGCTGTGGACAAAGTATGCTCAACAGTCAGCATATATTAATACAACTCTCACTAGGAAACATGTTAGAGGTTTGGGGCAGAAATGCAGAGGCATTTCTGACCCTATTGACATTCTGGTTCTAGGTCCAGCATTTTTCCTTGGGAAGTGGGGTCAGGACAAATGCTGGACAGAGTAACACATTGGTTTTCTTTTCTGAAGAGAAAAGTTTTTGGTTGGAGGGTGTCAGTCACCTGCTTTGTCACTTGCAGCTGTATCGCTCCATTTTGTTGTCTAAGGCATCAAATCTCTTTAAGGTTTGCCACAGAACTACATCTCCCATGCATCCAATGCTCAACACATGATAAAGTCATTCTATAGCTTGTGCTTCACTTGAGAGTCTCAAGATTGGACAAATGCTACTCGGACTGAACCCCTATGGTTCTGTTGCTGTTGTAGAATTGGAGGAATCTGCTTTGCTTCATGTCATCATAACCCTTGCTGATGTTAAATGCCTGAATGTGGTCCCCTATGTGAACATTCTCTCCAATGAATACAGTTCAGAGGAAGTTCCAAGTTCCAAATGCCATTCTTGTGAATGTCTCCGTGCCTCCCTTATCAGTTTAATAGCTTCCCTCTGAACCCTTTCCAAGGCCATTAGCTGTCATTATTTGGCAGGCCTCCAGAAAAGAATACAATGTTCTAAATAAGGCCTTATGAATGCTGTGTATGTCAGATGATTAATGTGCAAGCTCTTATTGGCATTCCAGATGGATCCCAAGAAAATTTTTAGTTTAGCTACAGTGACCTTGATCACCGTTTTTTTTCTTGTTTGACCTCTTGCAATTGCACAGAATTATTTTTGGCTTCATGAAAATGCCATGTCAATAACTACAAGTCATATAGTGGCATCTTACTTTTGACACCAGTCTCACCTTTCAGTGTAGGATGCAATGAGATAAGTGATAAATCAGAAACTTCTCTGGCAAGGCATCAGAAATTCCTATCACACTCTCCTGCACCTCTTCTACTGTACTGAAGAGGTACATGTATGATATAAATGGAAATTTTGTATGTCTTGGAATCAGGGGGTTTCAAGCACCCGAATGGCGGAGCACCTTGCCGAAGACATTCGCAAGGACTCATCTACGCAGGAACTCTTCAATGCATTGGCAGGGTGTGCCTTGCCTGAGATGCAGGTCAAGGAATTCGAGGTGGAACTGGAGCGGCTCAATGCCAAAATGGAACACCTGCGTGCCGAGAACGATGTCCTCTCCCTCACCCTCGAGGAGACTAAGTCCCAGTGCAATCATCTGAGCGTGCTCCTTGGAAGGTTTGTCTTTCTATTCTTTAAAGTCCTTTTTATGCTGAATTTTGGTCCTAGTGGTGTAAAGGAAAAGTAAATTGATCATGAACAAATGCTAAAAGCTTTATACAAGGTGGAGTAGAAAAGTTTGTGGACTTTATTTCTCATACAAAGAATGCTTGCTCCTAAAATCCCCATGTACCCCCTCTTATTTGGTGACAACCTTGCCTGACATAGCTCTAGGATTTCAGGTTGACAGTCTCAACCAGAGCAGAGTTAGACAACATGTCTGGTGAGTGTGTGCACAGAAAGTGGATGGTTAGGAAAGTCCTTGTTACTGAGGGTGAGAAGGCCTCATCCATCTTCTGATTAATGTAAAATGTCAATAGGGGTCAGTGTTTAAAGAGGTGTGCAGTGTTCAAATGGGTTGCAAGATTTAAGAGTGGACACACATCCATTGAAAATGACCAGCACTCGGACCACCCCAGCACCTCTGTCACTGATGTCAATGACAGCAACCTCAAGAATGATGCGGGGAGACCCCCAGTTGCTGGACTCTTTGGTGAGGAAATGGTTGGATGTGAAGGTAGATTACATCAAGATATAGCCCAAGTTTGGAAGGTCAGTGTCTCATCTTTCTGACTTTAAAAAATAATGCCCACAAACTTTTCTACCTCCCTCATTATTACTAATTACAGACATCAGCAAGTCTTCCTCAGAGAGACTTTTTATGATCAAGACTCATGTTTACATCAGGTTTAATGGTTACTCATTAGTCAGTAGTCAATAGTCATTACTCAATAGTCATTTTTCATGCTTCTTCAGGTATGAATCAAACTGCACTGCATTGCGGCTGGCCCTGACATGCACAGAGCAGGTTGTAGAGGCATATGAGGCTCTCCTGGGCCTGCTTGAAAGCGAGTTGGGGATGCTGATGGCCAACTGTCGACTGGCTGGGGTCCTTGGGTCCAGGTCCTCTGATGAAGATGCTCAGGAGACTTTGAAAAAGGCTGTGCATGGGAAGGCACATAAGGAGAATGCAGCCCAAAGGGTCCTCGTGTCTCTGGCCACTGCCGATCGACTGTATCCTTCACCTAGTAGGACAAGTATTGGCAGGTGAGAAACAAATTCTCTTCTTCAAGTGAAGGCTGGTTCTGCTGAGATATTTAATGTACCTTATTTCATATTTAAATGATATTCAGTATTTCAAAAAAGTGGCTGTGTGGTTTTTTAATAGCACGGGAAGTGGAAGCAGTGGTGGCCGGTCAGATGGGATGGGTGGAGGTGGGGAAGACAAGCAACTCAGGGCTCACATCTCTCGGTTGAGGCGGGAGAAGAAGCGGATTCTGTCCACGGTTGTGGATGACCTCGAGTGCCCTCCCCTGCATACGACTGATTCCTCTGAACTACCACCGACTCACTTTGAGGCTCACAAGATAGATCTTGAGAATGCTATTCTTCTTCAGGTGTGTGCAAAGGAGCTAGGAATACAAAAAAAAAGAAGTTCATGTTGATTATCAACAAGTCAATTTAATTTTGTTTTATTGATGTGTCGGCATCAAGTGGTATTTCTTTATCCTGCTTGCAGGAACTCGCAGGGCTGAAGGAGGAGAAGGCCGAGTTGAAAGCCCAACTTTATTTGATGGAGAAGGAGAAGTCGTCTCTGGACCTACGACTGGAGGGAAAAGAGACACACGAAAACGTCCTTCGCACCCAGATCCAACTCCTCCATGCTGAATTAAGGGAAACCAAAGACCCATCTGCCCGACAAACCCATGTCAGTTGCTCTTGCTCGCTTATAACCTCATGTGGTTCCCCCCTCACTTTCCTGAGACTGACCAAAGAGGGATCATCTGTCAGGATGGATCTGTTACTTTTCTTCAAAACTAAAATTTCTTTACTGTGCATATTCCAAGCCGACAGAGAAGTGCTTTGATTCTGAAGGCTACGAGTATGTCTGGATATCGGAATGCAGCAATTTAATCAAAATTCAAGTGTCTTGTCTGCGGAACTGAAAGTTATTAGTTCTTAGTCAGCCCTGAATACTATCTTGAGAGGCCTTTTATATGGAAATGATATACTTTCCAATGTCTTCAACAATTTTTCCTGAGCTTCTCATGAGGAATTGAGGGAAATGCTTTTTGTATTCATCTTGATCATATGTTGAAAATGATTGAAAATACCCTGAGAACAATTTAATTAGCCATGAAGGGAGAATGAATTAAGACCAATATGGGCTACAGGATGGAGTCGAAGATCAGGTGTGCCGCATGTCAGAAGCCGAGAAGCATCGGAAACTGATCGAATCCATGAGGAAGGAGAGGCGTTTGAGGACCAAGGTCTCCGAGCTGACGAACCTTCTCGAGAAACTCAACCGCAACTGTGAGCTCAGGCTGCAGCAGTCGTCGGAATTCACGGCCGACCTGAAACGAGCCAATGCGTATGTACATTGCTCTCCCTCCTTGCTGATATTTCTCAAAACTAGGCAAGCATGTTGAAGTTCTCATTGCAACTGTTGTCGTGGTGCTACAGGGCATTGATGCAAGCGATAGAGCGATGCAAACGACGCACCGAGGGCAAGAACAAGCGCCTCGAGCGACAGATGCTCACTCTGGTCGAGACTCATGCCGCACAGGTCCGTCTAGAGTCTCTCCACCCTCTCGTTACCCTTTCTGCTTTCTGCTTTTCATATTTTTTTATGGCTTCTACCAGATTCGGAGCATGAAGGGAAAGATATCATACCTCGAGGAACGGCTGGCCCACCGAGCCTCCCACCCGAGTCTCGCCTCCGAGACGGAACTCTGATCCATTTGCTGTGACATTTCTTCTCTTCCGTTTGTCTTCCTACTTAGATTCTTATGGCATTTTTATCATGTTGCTTCTTCTGGAATACAACATATGCTATTTTTATCACTGGAACCTCACGACTCGTAACATCGTGCAGAGATCGAAGGTGATCTGGAATCGTGTCTCTTGCAAGTTTCAGATTATTTCTGGATTAGATTGTAGGGTTTGATTGCAGTTGGAAAGGAAAGGTAGAGCAGTTGGCTTCCTGCTGAATGCACACACTGGAGTGGGAAAGTCATTTTGCCACAAGGGACTCAACCCTCCTTGACCACTATGTTGCATTGCAGGAAGTTTGACATGTAAACTAAAATGTGAATTTCAAAGGTCCTTAATCGATTCTTTGGAGCAATCACTTCGATTATTGCATGTTTTGTGCCTGGACAAAATAGATTTCACAATTTCAATGGGAGAAGAGAATTTCCCAAGTACTCCTAATTCATAAATGCACTCTGTGATTAGTCTCAGGGGCATCCTCTCCATTTGAAATAAAAACTGGGAAGCAAAGGTCATTGTTCCAAAACAAGAAGAGAAAGATGGACTTTCGTTGTCGATATAGAGATGGCAGCACTATTGCGAGGAAGGACATGTAAGCATATAACCCTTGTGATGAAACACACCAAGGCCCTGAAGGCAACGATGTCCACAGAACCATACTGAGTCCACATCGGAGGATCTGTGAGACACCTGAAGTCTCAGTCGCCCCGAGGGGAAGCATGACCATCTTGTTGATACTTCAGTTATATCATCTAGACCTACTTGGTTGTTACGTTTTCATGCTTTGTAGCGACTCCAGCTCTCATTTTGAAGTTCAAGGCCCATGGGCTCCACCTGTGACCACACTATTGCCCCATTCTATCTCAATCCTCAATTATGAAATCAACAAATTGACTGATTTCATCTCATAGACTGTACCTTCAACTGGTCCTCAGCATCTTATTCTAACTGGCAAAATTCCTCTAATTAGTCTCCTTAATCATACTTCATGTTTCCCATCCTCTCATGAAGGGAGGAAATGGATGAACCCAATTAATTCGTACTTCAACAACCGAAAGAACCTCTTCGCCACCAATCCAGCAATTGAGGAGTTTTCCAGAAAAAGAGCGTATGTGCAAAAGATGCAGTTCGAGATAAACGATAAAAACTTCTCATAGCTAATCTGAAGCTGGTCATAACTTAATTATCAGTGAAATGGTATCTTAGACCTTTTTCCAATTGAACTTGGGGTTTTAATGAATTTCTTTTCATCTCACATTGCCGGGATGCAGGCAGAAAGTGTTTACGCCCTCTTTCCACTGCTGAAACTTTTCCCAACGAGTCTTTCGCCACTCCTTTCCAGTTGAAAATAATAATTAATGAATAAATCCATCTAGATTTCAAATAAACTCTTTCTTGAAGAAGAGGAATGAAAATGTGAATATTCCGGGCATGTTTCATTCACCAATCACTCAGCAGTGATCCATTATTAATGCATCCATCATCAAAATTTGCAACTGTTTCATAGACATCTCCAACTTCTCGCATCCTTCCGGAGGTTTGAATGAATCCTCGTGTCTGTTTCTTCCTCATTTTCACTTTCAGTTTAAAAGGACAAAATTTTTTCACCAAAGTCGTTCGGCATGAAAGAGCCACTGGAATATTCGTGGAGACAGCCAAACTACTGGCTGACTACTGGCTGACTACCCTATCCTATGACTTAAGGTCATGACCTTAAGCAGCGCATGGACACATACGCCCCTTTTCCAGAGAACTCCTCAATTCAAGCGTTTATCAAACTGTTGCGAAAAAAAAATTAGAAGCGGTAACCATAAATGGTTCCAACCTGATAAGAAAAAAAAGGTCTGAAAAAATCTTGATCTCATCACTGCATCAGCTGTGGCTGATGCAAAAAAAAATTGCAATTGCCAACACTAATTGCCACTCCCATCTTCTTGATGCTTGATGCAGATGAAAGCGGAAACGAACAGCTTTTTTTAATCGACATGGTGTTTAGGCGAAGAAAAAGTTTCACAGGCCATGGCGTGGAAATGTCTAAATATTTTGTCACGTGTCAGTTCGAGAGTCTGCATTCATCATTCTCTGTCGGTTGCGTCTTAAAGATTCTTAAAGACTCTTGAAGATTCGTCCCCCCCCCCCCCCCCCCCCCCCCC